ACTTTACATGACCTCTTTTCTCTCTGGATAGCATCTATTTGTTTTGAAGCAGAGGATTTTCTTTGGGCTTTTACAGCTGTGTGCATTATTTATAGTTTATAGGAAATATTTATGAAACAATTTGAGTAAGATACAACTAGTTCATTTGTGTTTCTTCTCTGATAAGTATTGTGAATTAGCCTGTGTATTTTTGAAGCTAAAAAAGTCATCTTTCAAAGCACAATAGTAAATGCAGGAGCACTGTGACCATAGCTGATTTCCTATTTAGTTACTTCAATTTGAAACTTTTTTGGTCTTTTGGTGATAGGTGCTTGTGAAGTCTTGTCTGCTTTCCTTTCCTAAATACTGAATTAGTATGTTCATTACTTGTTTTTTAATGGGGATAATTACTTCATTTATGCTTTTCTGATGTACACTTGAATGTCCAATCAGTCTCTTGAGTAGTCTGATTAGACTGATTAGAATTAAATTGTTTGAAGTAACTTTTTGCCCTTCCCCTCTCAAAATCCATTCCATCTATTGCCTATGGTGCTGAAAAGCAACTTGGCATTATCTAATTAACTACTGTTTAATTTGCGACATCATACATGTTGATCAAGTCATATTTATGAAGCTCAAAAACATGCAATAAAAATTGAACAGTTTCCCCTATTAAACTGAATAGCATAGTGCTTTCTGCACTTTTTCTTGTAGGCCACAAAGACTGAACATTTGTCAATCACTAATGGATATAGTATATCTAGGTTCAAAGAAATGCCAAACTGAAAATTTTTTTGCCACTTGTGCTTGAATTTGACTTTAAGTGTCTGCTACATAAAAGATAAAATGTTAGTAATAATTGTGAGCCTCTAATGTGAACTTTCAAATCATAGCTTTTATTCTAACTTCTTTGATGTCTTACAGGCTTGTGAGATGCACTATTTCTACGATGTGGCTTTTGATTTTTCAGATTTTTTTTGAAGGAAATTCAAGTCAGACTGCTTTTCCCCATTTATTTCCTCATTCCTTTCAGAACATTTAATCATTTTTACTTTTCCTAACCAGGTGACTTTTACCAGTCATTTAACTAACTGTTGGGATTTTTCTGCACCATGTTGTCTAATATTCTTGGTGTCAAAAGCATAAAATCTAGCAGGAAGTTTACAGAAACCTCTTTAAGCAGGTTTGTGAAGTAGCCACACCGACTATCCAGGAGATTAAGGTCACCTGATAGTTAAATAAGAAACTCTTTGCACTCCTTTATTTAGGATAATCTAAATTTAATAATACTTGTAGATCTGAGTTATGAGATAAAGAACAAATGACACAGGTAGTCTCTTGTCTGTTCAGGCTGAGTAGGCCTTAATTTCAAAGATCCTCAAAAAGTAAAACTGGTTATTCAAAATAGCTAAACACATAGTATCAGACAGAGCACCAGGACAGCTGACTTAGAGAGGTGTTAGAGTTTTTTCAGACAGCATCATGAATCACAAATTGGAAACACAAAGCCAAGGCAAGAGCCTAGTGGACTTGACCCTGTCTTAGGAGGAGACTAGCAGCTTTTTGATACACATTCAAGTCTGGGGATTGTTTAACTTATGGATATAGATTTGCCTTCTTTGTTCTGTCACCTTTTTACAGACTCAGACACATAATCTTTTTTTAAGCAAATGTGTGTTCTGCAGGACATTGCTGTCTTGGCAAATGGAATTTGGTGTGGAAGAAGTACAGATGGAAGAGTCCAGTTTTGTCATTGTTCAGTCCTTATCTTCAGGCGATACAACTAGTTATAACATTCATTAAATACTGAAGTTCCTCTAAAACATCCTAAGTGGTAGCTCATTTGGTTTAAATCTAGCCTCTCCTCATTTTATCTTGAAAGCAAATGTTTGGACATTGAGGAATGAGGAAAAAAACACACAGAAGGAGAATTGGTTTGAGTTACCCTGGCCAGTTCCCTATAATTTTATTTGAGTAAAATTTGTGCATGGTGGATGTGGTGATCTCTCTAGATGAAATCCACAATAAGATGAAACTTCTCTTTAGTAGTTACAGCCATAGTGGTACTTGAATAAGCTGGGACTGAAGTTCTTATCACTTAGAAATGCATTCTTCCTTGTAACCCACTTTGTATTTTCCCACCACCTGTCAGACATAGCTGGGAATGAGATATCCGATGGGGTGTTTGGAATAGCTGCTTCCACTGCATTTTATTAATGCTTGTCTGAATTTTCTGGAACTCAGCCATCTGTCTGTGAACTGACAAACCACTTAACAAGAGGTTAACATAAGCAGGAAGATGTAAATGTGGTTTCTCAAACACTGATTCCAGAAATCAGGTTTGATTTACAATTATTTGCATTTCTTGTTCAAAGTCAGCATTTATCTTTCTTATGTGCTGTTGAAGATGGTGGTTTTTGGCTCTCAATTATTGTTAATGTCTAATTAAACCACTAATCTTCAGGCAAAATTTTAATGTTTAAGTTTTGCATTTTCTTAACCTTTCTAAATAAATGAGGATTTTAGAGAACACTTTTGAATTTTAGGTGATAACCTGTGTAAAACAAAAATGAAGTAAATAGAATCCCATTTACAGATTCACTGAGGGTGAAAAGAACTTCTGGAGATAATCTAGTCATTTCCTGTTTCTCAAGCAGATTTTCCTTCAGCAAGTTGCTCAGGTCCATGTCCATGTAGGCTCTTGAGTATCTCCAGGAATGGAGACTTATAGCCCCTCAAGTTGTCTGTTTCAGTGTTCTACCACTCTCATGGTGAAAGCTTTTCTTTAATTGTAAAATCATAGAATAAAACTTCATAAAATATTTCAGACTTGTTCTGAATAAATTACTGTGGTTTTTGGTGCACTTTCCAAGGTTAGTTTCCTAGTATTTATCAAGTCCAACTAATAGAGTGTCTCCAAAAGAATGGTCATGAATTGAATCCTTTGTAACAGCTGGGTAAGCTCTTTGTCTGTAGCAGTTTGGGTGTTTTTTATACGAAAAGCAGAACACATCAGCAGAGAGGGATAGGAGAAATAATTTTTCCCATCTTTTTCTGTTAGATCTGGAATTGTTGTATTGGGAACATCCTGTATGAAATACACTTTGACACTTTAACATCTTTTAAGGTTGTCATTTAAGAGGGCTCCTCAGGAGATTAATAACAAATTGCCTGAAATCAGCATTTCTGTATTAGTAGATAACACATCACATAAAATGAATGCACAAAAAGAAAGATTCCTCTCTTTCGGAGATGCTGTTGGGAAGAGTTTCTGCAGACAGTGCCGACACAGTGGGAGTGATGGAGGTGACAGGTACAGAAATTGCTCTACTGTAATCAAACTAATGAGTAAAAAGGCTTCTAGGATTAGAAATGTAGCAGTATCTAGGCAGAGCTGTAAATGAATGGAGAAATGCTTTTGGGTGTTTCCATATGGTTTGTTACAGAAACATGACAAACTGCTGAGGCTAAAGGCATGAAGATCATGGAGTCTAACCTCCTGCTCAGAGCAGGGTTCTCTAGAGCAGGTGCTCAGTCTTCTGTCTTGTTGGGGTTTGGATTCTCTGTTAATGTGTGTATAACCTGTTCACAGATCCCTCTAGACAATTTGTTTGCCTGAGGTGCTTTGAGGAGGAGATACGAGAGAATGCAAATAGCTTTAGGGAGTAGGGTGGTGGTGTCCTCTGACCTTTGGTGCCATGGTAGGCATAATAGGTGCAAAATTGTAAATGCCAGTGATGGCATTACTAACTAATGACTAGTTAGTAAACGCACTTATGGTATTTAATTAAATGCAAAATTTTCTGCTGTTTTTTTGCATTTCATACTTTTAAATGCATACTGTATAGATACCATACAAGAATTTGATAAAGCATGAATTCTATTATATCTTTTTTGGACAATGAATGAATATGACATTTGTACTTTATGTAATGTTTTGTACCCAAGCTAATCATTCTAACTAGCATTTTGTGAATTTGATATGTTGGATGCTCCCTATGGCTTGTTGACAATTTATTTTATCTTGTTTTGGTGTCTTAAACCCAAAAATCTCAAACCAACAAGCAAAACCACCTCAGAGTATGGGTGTGTTTCTGGGAAGATTTATGCTAATAAAGGATAGTATTCTTGCTAAGTATATCTTTTCATTATGTTAAAATTTTCCACCTGTTTGCATTCTTATGCACTGAAAGTACTTCTAAAGTAGGATGCTAGTTAGGGATAGTATACTGTAGGTTTTGAAGTTGTCAAAAGAGGACTACTGCTAAAGTCAAGTGTTTAGTAAGTGCTTAGGCAAGAGTAATGATTAGAAAAGGGGCTGTTGTTTAGAGATAAGAACTAATGAAAAATGCTTTATGTCCATCTGTCATCTGAATTTTCAGCACTAAAAAACCCTGAAAATAATACTGCACCTTTAGCTGATATTTAGTTCTTGATCAGATACTTGTACCTTTTGTTTTGAATGTTGGAACAAAATGAGCCTTTAAACTCCTTGTTACTGAAAGGCTCTATGTAGTATATGAGTAACATCTGTAAATTTTTTTGGCTTCTTATTTGGCTCAAATTCTGACATTGAGTGACTTTCAAATGTACTTCATTTTCAAGCAGTAGTCCAGAATTTTGCCACTATACTTCTTCTGTTCAATAAAAAGGTTTAAGAGTAAGTAGTGGATTCCTGATGTCACTTTAAACTTGATGCTTCTGCACATCGTCTAGTGTCAAACAGATCATAATACACTTCTGAACCTACTCTTAGTAGGTTCAGTAGGCATATCAGTTTTTAAGTCTTGCATTAAACTTGAATGTAGTAATTTCTATGTTGATCACAACAACAGAGGTAGGTACTTGAAATCTACCAGTGTTAGTGGAAAAATTAGATGTTATGATCCTTTGGAGTGGGAGGTGTTCTTCAATATAAGCAATATTTGCTCAGAGTGTGTCTGTAGGTTATAAGTAATTAGCTATTCATTTTGTGGCACTGCAGTATTAATGATGTAAAACACTTTTATGTTTTTAATCAGGACAGAGCTTGGGTTATGGTTTTGTGAACTACGTTGACCCCAAGGATGCCGAAAAAGCTATCAATACCCTAAATGGATTGAGACTACAAACTAAGACTATAAAGGTATGTAGGGTTAAAATAATTTAAAGACACTGAACTGTTTTGACTTCCTGATTTGTTTTACAGGTGTAACAAGCATTCAGCCAATGTCAGTAGAGAATTTCATGTAGTCACTAGGATTTCATGTAGTAAATGGTTCTTTGTAGTGTTTATATTTAGAGTTAGATTAGCTATAGAAAGTATAGAAAATTACATTTTCCTAACCACCTTAACACTTTATATGTACAGTAGAATTGCTTTAACTGAGGAATTGTTATATACCTTAGCTGAAGAAATGCAATATTGCATGTTGCTTGAATACTGTCTGCTTCCTCATTTTCTGAAAGATAGTGTAACATCCTTAATAATACTTCAAGTTTTATGGTGCTACTTTTTCCTTTTACAAATCCTTAGAGTGAAATGCTGAAATAACTGTTGGTTATGTATGAATTACTCTTATTTCTAGGGCTTTGGTCTTTACATCTCTAATGTTTGGTATTCCAAATTCTTTTTCTGTTATGTTACAACTCCTCACACACTTGTTTACTAAATTCAGTTTCTCAAATTTTTAGAAACAAATCTTGAGAGTTACTTTTCTCATCTCCTTTTTTAATCCAATAACAGAAGACTGGGGATACTCATTTAAACAATTGAGCTCCGAAATTCTGAGAGAGTAGATTAAATAAAATTGTCAGGAAATGCAGACTTTTGAACATGTTTCACAGGTGTTGGTGCCTGAAGGCAGTGTATGTTCCAACTAGCTCATTCTTCCTCATTAAACAGCAGGGTTTGCTAGCTGATCACTTGGATAGTGGCTCCCTTCTAACTAGAAGCATGTTTGAGACATGAAATAAAGTTCCCCTCTAAAAACATTTGTGCTTAAAAAGCAGTGCAGAGCACTGAAAGACAGTTGAAACAAAAATAAAATACCAGTATTGATAAAAGTGTCTTATCTGTAGTGTATTCATAAGATTTAATAAAGTGGATTATACTATTTGAAACTTAAATACTGCTTTGTAAAAAATAGGGGCTCATGGCACACAAGTACAGTGGATGAAAGATGTGGACAGATGCTTATCTACTGAAAGCCCCCTATGTGTTTCTGGCAGATGTCTTGTCCTCAGTCCTCTCTCATTTTCTATTTTAGGGGAAAATTGAGCAAATTAATTTTGTGCTCCAGGACTTTTGAAGCTTTCTTTTGTGCAGTCATGAGAAAGGGAATCTGTTTGTGTTCCAGTAGTATTGGTTGGTGTGTAATGCCTTGCATTGGGCCAACATTACTTTTATGTCCAGGATGGTTCTGGACATGGAAGTTCTGTTGACTATGTAGGCAAAAAAAAAGGAGGTGGTTAGAGAAGATCAAGCCAGGTCTCCCAAATCAAAGTGTTCCCTTCAGGGGAGTTGTGGTCACTTACTTCATGCTAGCCATATTTGAATTTTTAATCTGCCTTTAATCCTTGCTAAGTGATTAATTTAATTATTTTCACTTAAAAAAAAAAGGTGAAAATGGAGTAGACAGATATGAGTGATGACAGGGATGCTTTTTATTTCCTGCTTTCCCAAGAACAAAAAGTGGAATTGTAGGTTAGATACCAGACAAAGACCTTCTCAATGACACTAAACTCAGGTGTTTGTACGTTAGATATCTTTAGCTAAAGCAGAGCTGAAACTCTGGAGTTGTCATAAGCCAAAATTATAGCCTCTTTGCTAAAATAAAGAAAATCTCTGTCTAATTAGAGAAAAGTATCTTTAAATGCTGATTGTTAATGCTTCAAGTAAATTCTGGCTCAAGTTACCAGTCCGGTCTGTTGAACTTCAGCAGCACCTTTCAGTGTTAGTGGGCATGATTTGAGTGCAAAAACTGCTTTACTGTCTTCTCCTTTATTTACTCTTCTTCCTTCTTGGACATGGGGTTTCAGGCCAAGTTTTTTGTGATAGATTTTCCAAGATCACCGAATCATAGGATGTTAAGGGGTTGGAAGGGACCTTAAAGATCATCTAGTCACAACCTCACTGCATTTATCAGTGAAGCAATAGAAGTGCCCAGCCTACTGTGAGGCTTTTTGTTGCTCCTCAGATCGGCCAGGGAGCAATGGTGAGCCAAGGTCAAGTTGAGGTCCAAGGTATTTTCTGCCTCTGGAGGGAGCGTCTTGGCTGAAGGAGGTCTCTTATGAGGTCTCAATCAAAGGGCCTTTGCAGAGGTTACTTCCTTTTTATAGACCACAGTGTTCCTATTTGTCCAGAGTTGGTAAGCCAATGACAAAAACAAAAAACAAACAAAAAAAAACCCTCCCCCTCCCAAAAAAAACCAAACCAAGCAAAAACAAAACCCCAGCCTGTTTGATAAACTCAGAATCTAACCCATAACTTTCAGCTTCAAAAAATGTAACTGAGATGTTTTTGTATACCTTCATATGAAAAATTATTGAATAGGAGTTCTAGTGCATATTTAGGTTTCAAAAGAAAAAAATTAGGGGTTTGCGCTCTCTGTGCATTTTTGGGACTTCTGCAGGAATGCTTAGTACTTTACTAGATTGATAGTTCAAGTTTGTTCCCCGTTAGTATATAAAACTGGAAGCAACTTTGCTGGTTCAGTCACAGTGTGATGTATCCTCCCATTGTGACTGAACTCAGTGTAATCCTACTCAGAGGAAACTGACTGTCCTGACCCTGATGTGTGATGCTCTGGATTGGGGTTGTGACAGATACCTCTGATCCACAGCTTCTATACTAGCCTGCATGTCATTGGATATATTTTTTCTCATCCCTAAGGGCATGCCACTTAGTGTTTTCTTGAAATAAAATACATTGAAAAATGAGGATTTGCAAAATGCTGGATTATGGGTTGGGTTTTTTAATATTGATAGCAACACAAAATCCTATTACCTCTTTCCCTTTTTAAAAGAAGATCCTGTGGAATGCTTCATGGAATACTTTACTGAATTTTTTGCAAAATATCTCAAGCAATTTTCAGGTGTATATCTCCAAAGCAAGGATTAGCAGTGTTAGTCTTGTCTAACCTGGTGGCTGTTGTATTGCTTTCTGATTTAACTGAATATTAAGGGTGGGTGTATACTCTGCTGGTGAATTCACTTAGGGGTGTGTTAGATATGTGAACCCTTTTCAGCTGGATGGTATGCATCTATAATTATACAGTGCCCTTTACTGCATAATTTATGGTTTATTTGCACTGTAAACAGGCTTATGTGTACTGCACATAGCCTGTGAAGTTTGGGCTTCACTAAGTTATGCAACTTCAGTGTGGAAACAATCTCATCTTATAAAAGGTAAAATATTTTCTTATGGCTTCTGTTTTGGAAGATGATGCTGCTTGCAAGTTTATCTCTGTTCTATTTAAGAGACAGTAAAAACATGGACTTTTTATGCCTGGAGTGATTTTTCTTCTTACCTGCTTGCTTGTCCATGACTTTTTTTCATTTAGGTTGTTCTGGAAAGATCAGTTCTTCCCAAATGTGGAAAACTCAGAGAAACAAACTGGTTATGAGAGTCGCTGATTTACACATAGGGTTAAGAAAATTGAGTGCATGTTCTTTTTTCTTGGCTTTTGCTTGGGAGAGGAGAAGTGCTCCATTGCTTCCCCTTCCCTCCGTTAGGGGGGTTTTTATGAGAAAACTCCTGGAAAGAAAAAAGATCCAAGTAAATTTATTGTGAGATTATCTGAACAGAATTATCTTTCAATGTGAAGTAAAAGAGTTATACATTAACAAGAGAGTGTTTTAAGATTCACTGTCTAAAAAGGAGTGGGAAAACAAATGGCCTCTCTGGACTGGCTGAGAGACATGCGGGGTGGTGAGTAGGAGGCAGCTTTTCATGTAGACAGGAAGACACAGGACAATATTTTTGACTTTTCTTCATGGATGTTAGGCTGCCTTAATGATGGACACAGTCCTTTGTGGATTGTAGCTGCCAAGGGGACACTGAAGATGACAGTAATGCTGTGCTCGTTCCTCCCTTTGGAGTGCTTGAAGTGGCAGAACCTCTGCATGCAGGACCTGGCATTTCTCTTAATAGAGAATGCTGATGAGACATGTGCAAACATGTATGCAAGTATGTGTTGGAAAGGGGGGGAAAATAGTTTGTCCAGGCTAGAGGCCTTAGAGTTGTCTTTTTCTATAAGATAGCATTTATAAGATGGATGTATTCTACTTAGCGTAAAGCTGCTTAAAAGTAAAATTTAATAAGGTTTTCCTTCTCTGAAGTTGTTGGGATTATTGAGATGTTTACATGGGTAATTATTACCTTTCAGGGGAATATGAATTTAAGGAATATTTTATCTAAAGATTTAAATCTGTAGGTTTTCTTCCCACTCCTTTATAACTTTGCATGTAATAAAAATAAAAACAGGCCTAATGTGTGACATTCTTCCAACTTCCTATTGGAATGAATTTGACAAATTCTTTGGCTATAAACACAAGATGTCCTATTTTGCCATCATCACCCAGTTGACTGCCCTACTGTAGAAAGTTGTGTAATGAGAAGAGCTACTTAAAACTTCAGTAGAAGAGTGAATACTAAGCATTCAGCTTTACAAATACTCAAAAAAGTGCTGTATATAGCAAGGAAGGACTTGAAATGAGGGCTGTGCTGCAAGTTCATTGGTGTTCTTTGAGTCATTGCCATTAAAACTTGGCATTATGCAATGTGGTTTCACTTGGTGTCTTGAACTACTACTTAGATTTACAAGAAGATTAATTGTAAAGGAATTATCGTCTAACTTAACTGTTCAGTAGCTGCACACTTAAGAAATTTTACCAAGAATAGTATTCTTGAAAACACTTCAAACACTTAATGGAAAATAGCAAAATATTGAAAAAAAGAGAGATGCTGGTTTGATTTCTGAGTTCAGTGCAACAAATAAAAGCTATTGAGATTGTTCCTGTCTTCACCACCAATACATGTAGATAAAAATTTTTGTAATGTCCCTTTTTTGTAGTAATTCTTTGATTAACTAATATCCTTGGGTAGCAATGAATTATGCACGAGTTGTGTAAAATCTCTATTAA